AAACTATTTTCTATAAAAAAAAGTATCAGATAGATGGCCAAATAAAAATAAATTATACAAATTATAACAAAAAATGAGCTAAATAAAACTAATTTGAAATAAAAAGATATCCCAATCTAAAAAAAAGTTGGATACATTAAGTATAATGTTATTACAAACAAACTAAAATAACACATATTAAGTAAAATGTTATAATAAATTATAATGAAAAGTAGTGAAATCAAAATCTTGCACCAACTGATAACGAGAAAATACATATATAAAACATAGTTAACGTTAAAACGAAGAAATAATTTGGAGCAAAAATGATATTACATTCTTGATGTTTCTTTTTGACACGACTAGAACACTACAAGCGCGCGCTACGCGCACGCCATTTTAGCATGTTCATATTAAAGTTAAGAATAAATATTGTTGTGTCCGAGCCACAACGTTTGTGGCGACGTCCGTTGTCCGTAAGCCTTAAGCATCTGATTTTGACAATTGAGCAAGGATTGTCCTGACGACGAAAAAATCGATAAGAAGAAGAGAATAACAGCTGATAGAGAGTCTCTGGCAAGCTGTCATCGAGTTGTGCTGTAAATATTGAAGCTTCTTAGTCGTTACGCAGGTGTTTTCATTTACCCGAGTGCAAGCGCGAGTGCAAGAGTGAGCGCAACAATATTATAAATAAAAAATAAAACCTGGAGTATAATATAAGTTCGATAATATCCGACTCCAACATACGATGTATTAGGACCACACATTTTGAAATTCCATAACACATATTTTCTGCATAATAACACGTCATCGTCTAACCAATGAAAATTTCAACGTTTAGAATTCCATTCAACCATCTTAAGCTCTCTCTCCTTCTCTCTCCCTATCTTCCTCATACTCTCTCTCATACTCTCCTCTCTCTCTAGTATAAAAAAATGAATAGTAAATAATTGTTATTGTACTAATACAGCATCAACAGAAAACTATGTGGAAGATGATTCAACAGGAAAAAAATGTGTTAAGAATAAACAGGACAAACTGTGGAGTGCATATGATGAAGTACTGATAGAAGCTGTACGAGCCAAGCTATGTTTATGGAATACCACAATCCCTGTTAAGGAAAGAGGTCTTTTATCTGTCAAAGAAGCGTGGTTGGAAATAAATTTTGAATTGGAAGGTAAATATTTTATGTAACCACAATTTTCATATCGGTTTCTATTTTTCTTTAATAAAAGTAGTTTTGTTACTTAACTTATAATATTATTTTTATAAAACTCATCGAAATGTCTTGTAGATTTGGATGTATACACAGTCTGTTCCAGATACGATGAGACTGGTTCCATCAAAGTTCTTAGCGCAGCGACATCTATGAGTGAATGATGGTAGGTGAATGTTCTACCCTTCATCTACTTAAAATTTGAGCGAATTCAGTTGTATTTCACTGTGATGTGACATTTTATGTAAAGTCACTTTGTGTACACTCAGAGGCAGGTATGGTGTCCCTCGGCGATGTCGTATACGCCTGTAAAACAATCGAAAGCAATGACAGGCATATACGCATACGCATATGGGCGTACTGTACAGCGCGAGAGAAGCGAAGAAGGAGAAATGGTGGGAGACGTTCCGAAGTTGCATCCTTTTCGCACGTCGCACGATTGAGAGAGAAAGCATTAACAGACGTGGTACGGTTAATGGTGTCTTCAATAGCTGTCTCACTCATTCTACGCTTGAATGCAAGGAATATGAGTGAGACAGCTATAGAGACACCGCGCTGTCTCTATAGGTGTCTCGCTCGCTCTAATAGCCATGTATCGCGCTTTCCTCTTTTCTCCTTAGCAGAAATGCCGATTAAGGAGGGAATCCTGTCTGTAGGCCAGAAAAATAAGCTATTTTCACAAATTTTTTTTCGGAAACTAAGCAGACGATTGATTTCAAATTTGATAGAAATAATAATATATATTTTATTGATAAGAATGAATTTTTATAGCGTTATATGAATAATAATAATGTAGCAAATACACAAAAAATAACGTGATGTGTTTATACGCGCGCCGTTTCACGGTTTCTATAAAATCTCGAAATACGGTGGACTGGGACAGAAACGTAAGATAATTAATAATTATTAATTATTAATTACTTCTGAAAAGACTGCGGGAAGGAGGGAGGGATAAATGCAACATCCTCCTTTGAATGCTATTTAAAATGTAGGCTCTGCTCTTGAAAATATAAAAAGAAATTAGGAGACTATAATAATAATAAAAATTACAGTAATAATAACGAGACGCTATACAGCATCTCCTGAAACCAGAGAAAAAACCTTTTTTTATATATAAAAGTCGATCGATCGACTTCAGCATGTAGTTACATACATATTCGAAACATGTCTATCTATCGTGTGAACTAGCGAAATTAAAAAATATTAATTTTTTATATGCACCGCGCTGTCTCTATACGTGTCTGTAATAGCCATGTATCACGCTTTTCTCTTTTCTCCTTAGCAGATGCCGATTATTATATTATATTATTATTATATTATTATTATATTATATTATTATTATATTATTATTATATTATATTATTATTATATATACTATTATAATTATATATTATTATATATTATTATTATATGCGAGGGGGGTGAGTGGGAGAGAGTGTAAGAGGTGAGTGTGAGAGAGGAGAGTGTGAGAGAGAGAGAGTGTGAAAGAATGAGAATGTGAGAGAGAGAATGGGCGTGAGAGAGAGTGAGAGAGAGAGGGAGTGAGAGAGAGAGGGAGTGAGAGAGAGAGGGAGTGAGAGAGGGAGAGAGTGTGAGAGAGAGAGTATGAGAGAGAGATTGTGTGAGACAGAGAATGAGAGAAAAAGAGAGAGAGAGTGTGTGGGAGAGAAAGAGAAAGAGTGTGTGAGAGAGAGTGTGTGTGTGAGAGAATATATATATTAATATATTAATATATTAATATATATATTAATATATTAGTATATATATATATATATATATGTATTTATATATTAGTTACACATTTATATATGTATATATTTATATATTTATAGGTACATATTTATATATGTAGTTACATATTTCCTTTCTTTTCTTGCTTGTTGATTTTGCTAGGAGATCGCGCTTTTCATTTGTTACTTTTTTTTCCTATTGCATCATTTATCGTGGTGTCGTAGCATCGAGTAAAAGCGATAACGTGTGAAAATTATGCCTGAAAACTTGTGTCCTGAGGTACGAGGTCGCATTGTTGGGCAATGACAGGCGGGAAGAACAGTAGCAGGAATTGCTGCTGCTATTCCATGTTCTGCTAGAACTGTCCGACGATGGATACAACGATTCAATGAAGGGGGCGATCATGCGTTGCATGATCACCGTCTTCATAATCGTGATCCTCGGAAGACCGGGGCACAAGAAGACGAGGTACTAGTCGCCGCAGTTGGTGAGCGACCTTTCGGCACTGCCCAGGAAGCCATCAACGCGGCAAATCTGCCTATATCCCAAAGGACCGCCCGGCGACGTTTCAACGAAGCTGGGATTCACTGCCATCGTCCAGCTCAAAAAATTCCGTTGACTCTCGGACATCGGGAGCAACGTGTCGCGTTCGCTTTAGAGAACCTGGTGAGGAGCCGTGAGGAGTGGGAGGCAACGATCTGGACCGATGAAAAGGTTTTTGTATCGTCTGCCGATCACCAATCTCACGTATGGCGTCCAAGGGATCAAAGGTTGCATCCTAATTATGTTGTGCCTACTCACAGAAGTGGGAGGACTTCATACGCAATGTGGGGCTGGATTTCCGGCACTGCAATCGGTGAGCTGGTAGCTATTCCCACACGAATGAACTCTGCGGAGTACATTCGCGTACTGGAAGATTCCTTTCTTCCATCAGTACGCGCAATTTACCCCGCAGAGGAAGTGCCAGTGATCCGATTAGTGCAGGATAACTCCGGAGTGCACAATTCGCATGAAACGCAAACATGGTTTCGATATCATCCGGAGATCCAATTGATTCTGTGGCCTGCTCGCTCACCAGATTTAAATTTAATCGAAAATGTTTGGGCACAAATGGTTCAACGATGGGAACCAAGAAGGGAGAGGACGATAGCAGGACGATCGCCGCTCGTCAGGGAATGCCCAATACGGTTTACTCTGACAACGGTACTAATTTCGTCGGAGCCGATCGTGAGCTGACCGTGGCCTACCGGGCCGCGCTCCGGGACACGAACTTCCAGAGTTCCACCGCACTCGACGGTGTCAACTGGAAGTTCATCCCTCCAGCCGCGCCACATTTCGGTGGGATGTGGGAAGCCGGTATCAAATGCGTAAAAGATCACGTGCGTCGCGTACTGCGAAACAACACTCTCACATTCGAGGAGTACACAACGCTGCTATGTCGGATCGAAGCATGTCTCAATTCGAGACCGATCACGCCGATGTCCGACTCGCTCGACGATTACGAGCCGCTCACGCCCGGTCATTTTCTCGTCGGATCCGATATCGGTCTACCTCCTTCGCCGTCGACTATCCACATCTCGGAAAACCGATTGACGCGTTGGCAACTCGTGCGGCATCTAACTGAACGATTTTGGCGGGTGTGGTATCACGATTACGTGAACACGCTGCAACAACGGGGAAAGTGGAGGAAAGTGCAGCCGTCGGTCAAGGTCGGTCAATTGGTCCTGATACGCAATTCAACTTTACCTCCGTGCAAGTGGGAATTAGGGCGAGTAACTCAATGTCACCCCGGTCCCGACGGGCTCACCCGTGTGGTTACCGTCCTCACCGCTAATTCCAACCTTCAGCGACCGATCGTAAAATTATGCCTGCTGCCAATCAATTATGAGACAGAATAATGCCCACTCGGGTTTCGAAACAAACGTTTCAAGGTGGGCGGGATGTTTGCGATCCGACCAAGTCGTCGCTCTTTGTTACGACGGAATCGAGGATTCTCGATGCCATGAGATATCCTGCGTGACTCGCGCGTGAGCACGCCGTGCGTGTTTTGCTACCGGACACCGCGTCGTTGTTGTCATGGTTTGTCAGCATGTGACTGCCAAATATGGCAACGTTTAGACAATAGCGGTTAACATCTCATCTCCGAGCGACACAAAAACTAAAAATAAATGTAAGATCGAAGTGACGAACGTTTTCGGTTCCTCGCTTCGATAAGATCTTCACTTCGCACGACACCGCTCGCAAGTGCTATTTCAGTTTGTTCCGCTCCGTTTTTTTCGAATCAGCTGCTCGACCGCTCCGGTCGAACCTCATCGTCCGAAATACGATTGCGGCTTCAACGCGTTGCGCTTCGAACGGACGTGCTACGTTCGATCATATTCATCGCACATTGTTCAAGTTTATTTTGTATTTTTTTTATAATAAAATTGGGATCGCGTCTTCGAGTGGTGATCGCGTTCCAACTTGCGAGTATCGGCCTCTCGGCGCCTCGACGTACATCGAAGCCAGGATAAACGAGAAGGAGAAACGATCCCACGAAACACCAACAAAATCAGTGTCTTCCTTTCAATCTGAACCCCGCGCTCATTGCTGAGCGGTCCCGGCCTCTTGTTCGCTTTGCCAAAGGGCGAACAAGATCCTTTGTAATTATAAAAGGTCGATCCGGAATTTGGTGGTGCCTGACAATTCAAAAATTTAATAATAGTTAATAATAGTTAATATGCTAACATTTAATAAAAGTTAATAATAGTTATTATGCTAACAAACATTTCTCACACAAGAATTACAAAATTTTTCAAAAGTATCTAAAAAAATATATCTGGAATATTAAGTAATTTCCGAATAATTTCTATGACAATGTTTGAAAAAAATGTTTAACATTTACTATCGTTTTTATATCAATCTTAAGATATATTTACCTTTATAACTACATGCTTCCCATCTATTGTACCTATGTAATGTGGAAAATTCCAGCGTGTATAAAATTCTTTGGCGATTGCCTTCCAATTATCCGTAGATGGCACAAACATTTTATCATGCAGCATATTCCACAGATGCTCGCATGTATCTTCAATTATTGCTGAAGCAGTGCTATGTCCTATGCGAAATGCAAAGGCAATTGAAGACGTTTTATCTCCTGTGGCTAAATATCTGCAAGTAATTAAAAAATCAGTTAATGCATTTTACGAAATCAGTTGTTAATAATTATTAATGTATACATCTTTATTATTTATATTCGATTTTTAAAAAACTTACCTCAACGTCAAGTACAACCTTGTGCGAGAACAAATAAGTTCTCTAAAATTAGTGTGCATCCTTTTAATTGTAGGTCCAACAATGCTGAGTAATTCGTCAAAGACGTCGACCGTCATACGGCAATACTTAAAATGTAATTCCGTGTCCAAAAGTCGCATCTCATTGATAAGATGTTCACCATCTCCTTGGTTATTTCGATTTTCATTTATTGAGCGAACCCACCATCGACGTATCGTTTTATTATTTTATTATTTTCATGCCCAATGTTTCAGATAGTGGAGGGTTGTTAAAATAAGACGTTTTTGAACCGAGTCTATTCCAGACTGTTGTGCAATTGGGGTTATCAGTCTTATAAAACGTCTCTGTCTTCTTATATTTCTCACACTAGCTAATTCCATAGCGTACTATTCTAAAAATAACTAATATAATATTTATAGATTGTATTATTGTGTTAGACATACATTGTCCCGAAAAATAAAAATCCCGAAATTAGAGAATTGGGACAATATCCTGACAATGCATGTCAACAAATATTGTTTTTAGGTTAATTATTTCACTTCGTAAATTTAAAATATTACATATGCAATTATATTTTATATATATATATTTATTGATGTAAATTGCTCTCTTTGTTACTATATTTCCTTAATAAACACTTTGAACTACAATTAATTCAATGCATTTCTTACTGTCGCGTCGCTCGTCGCGTTGAGTATGAATAGAACAAAATAAATTTTCATGAGCTCATCGCGCATCGCTCATCGCGCATCGCCCATCGCGTCCAGTGTGCAAGACCCATTAGGCATTTGATTTTGACAACTGAGCGAAGATTGTCTGGACAATTCTGGGAAAATCGATAAGAGAATAATAACAACAGCTGACAGTGAGTCTCTGACCAGCTGTCTTCATTGACAGACACGAATATTGAGAATTATAAAATAGAGAGTTATTCTTGTTTAAGGTTTTATTGAGCTACGCTGTAAATAGTAAAGCTTGTTGTTCTTACTTACCTGTGTGAAAGCGCGAGTGTGAGAGTGAGCGCAACAATATATATAATAAATATAATTTTAATATATATTAATTATTATATATAATCTTTATTATATATAATATATATAATTATATATATATCTATATAATTATAATATATATAATTATTATAATTAAATATAATAATACTATTATTTCTTGATAGTTTCATGTTACTTATCTCTTGGAAAAACGATATCAATTTCAGAGAAAGAGGATATGAGAGAATAATAAGCTAAATGGCGCGCGCATAGCGCGCGCTTGTAGTGTTCCAGTATTGATTAAAAATAACGGACAAATGATAACGTGTAATATATTTATTTACATATTGTGACTGTAATAAAATTTCTTAGAAACTATATTTTGTGTATATTATATAATATTTAATAATTTCATAACATAATATATAATAGAATTGACATTTTAATATGGATATCATGTTATTGATATTTGTGGTTTACTGAATATTTGCGTATTACATGTAGTAATTTATTACATGTAGCAATTAATTAAATGCAAAATTTTTTTATTTAAATTACAGATGATCAAGAATACTTAGAAGTAAACAATCTAGATGATATTAAAAAATTAGAAGGACGAATGTCTATATTACAAGTTTGTAAAGCAAATAAAACACCACGGAGAAGAAAAATAGAAGAATGTTCATAAAAATGTTGGTTATTTGTTATGTTTCATATGTTTTATATCTTTCGATTATTGTTGTTCTTCTAATATTCAATTAAAGTGTTTGAAAATAAACTTATAAGTATAAACTAAATACTATAGAGGATATAATTCGCTTATTTGAAAGCTTCCCATAACATATAAAAAAATAATAAAAATAATAAATAATAAATAATTAATAAAAAATAATAATAAATAATAATTTTTTAAAATAAATGAATAGCTTTCATTTAATTTCGATTTTTTAAAACTTTTTTTTGTTTAAATTAATAATTTTAATATTATAAATTTTAATATAATTTAAATATTTATAAGTAATCATGAAATCACTGGTTTATTAATATATATATTACAATTAATATTTGTCATATATCTAATATCACATTATTTTAATATTTTTCCTAATAAATATAATATTATATAATAAAAATTTAATTTTTATGTGACTTGACATCATTTTAACGTCATTCTGATGTCATCTTGACTCTAAAATGACTTTTAAATGATAATCCTGTTCTATCTGGGTTGTTACAACTCGGATAATTTAAAGAATAATGACTTATTATAGAAAGTATTGAGTTAGTACCGTTTTTAGTTTTAATGATTTTGTAAAAACTTATGGAAACTTATAGTTAACTTATGAATACATGCAAAATACATGCAAAATACATGTATGTGAGATAAACTGTACCAACTCTGAATTTTTTATAATAATTCACTACTTATTAAATATTTAACAATATGGTAATAATTAATTTTTTAGTATTAGTACTGGTAATTCGTACGGATAATTACATAATACATAAAATTACAAAAAGCTAACTTTTTACTATTTAACTTAACAAAAAGTTAAATGGCGCGCGCTTGTATTGTTCTAGTACATTAAAAGAGGAATAAGCCTTAGAAATAAATTTAAGAATAAAATAGAAATTCCGTTGTCGAGATTAAAACAAATTCCATTCGGACACGTTTGCTCATCGCAATTCGTCTATATCATAAAATATCTTCGAGCGATAACCGACCCTTGTACCTGTAATATTCCCGAACAAATACCCGAAATTGAGATTTCATCATATTTCTTTATTCTATAGATTCTTTTGTTAAGAGTTTCTTTTGAATTAAATAACTTTTTCATTTTATTTAAAATTGGAAATTAAGTATATGTCAAAAATATACTTGTATCTTATTAATGTATCTTTGAATTGAAATATACATATACATACAGCATATACAGGGTGTTTAATAGCTGATCATGCAGACGAAAGTTGGAGATAGATTGGGTGTAGCCGAGAAGAAAAGTCATGTACCATAATGTCAAATTGGCAATAGTTATCGAGTTATTAATTAAAACATGTGAGCCAACGAGCACGTAGAGAGCGGAGGGCGGCCGCAGTAAGCACGTAGACATTTGATACAGGCGGAGTCAGTGAATGTCGGTAGGCAAGCGCGCGCGGCGAGGGGCAACGTAAGCGACAAGAGGCGATCGCGCGCGACGAGGAGCGAGCGAGCTTTTTCTTTATAGCTTTTTCCTTATAGCTCGCTCGCTCCTCGTCGTTCGCGCTCTCTCGCTCTTCGTCGCGCTCGCTCGCCTTTTGTCGCTTGCGCTCGCTTGCTCCTCGTCGTTCGCGCTCGCTCGCTCCTCGTCGCGTACGCTTGCCTACCGACACTCACTGATTCCGCCTGTATCAAATGTCTACGTGCTTACTAACTGCGGTCGCCCTTCGCTCTCTACGCGCTCGTTGTCTCACATGTTTTAATTAATAACTCGATAACTATTGGCAATTTGACATTATGGTATATGACTTTTCTTCTCGGCTACACCCAATCTATCTCCAACTTTCGTCTGCATGATCAGCTATCAAACACCCTGTATGTATATATATATATATATGTCATAGGACGTTAATCTAAACGTGGACATTCTTATTATTTTGGTCTAATGTAAATATTTAAATTTTCAACATAGAATACATGTATATATACAGAGTGTATAAAAAGAACCGGAACGGTGAAATATTATAAAAACTAAGCATTTTAGAGAAAAATGTTTTAAATAAAAATTGTAGGGTTTGAAAAGATCTATTTACTGACATTATGAGTTTGACCTCGGGTGGCGTCGCCAATATCAGGACAAGGTCACCTTGAATTTTTTAAATGGGACTCCCTATTTTTTATTATATATTCTTATAGCTCTTCTTCAGACTTTTTCAAAGCATAATAATTTTTTCTACTTTGAATAAGCCGTTTCGAAGTTATTGAGCTTTTTATGATAACATGTCCAGCCAACCAAGGCAAGATCAAAGAAATATCCAGCCAGCCAAGGCAAGATCAAACAAATGTCTAGCCAGTTAAGGCAAGATGATCATAAAGGAAAACTAGCAATTGAAAGTACGATTAATCAAATGCTCAAATTGTTCATCATTGTTCACTATTTGACAATGCGCTAATCAATGATACAAACCTGAAAAAGCATCTTCTTACAAAAGCGTTTGAGAATAATATTAATCTCTAAAGGAAAAAGTAAAGTAAAGATTTATCCAATAAACAAAAATTTGTGTTAACTAGATAACAAAAACTGCTGGGACATATCCAGGTGGTGCGGAGGCTGCAGGGATATGTCCAACCGGTGCGAAAGCTGCTGGGACATATCCAAGGTAATGCGAAGGCTGCAGGGATATGTCCGGCTAGTGCAGGAATATATTAGGTGCGCAACTAAGTTCTCGCTGTTTTTTTGATGAAAATGCAACTTTATTGTGAAAAAATGGTTACAAATGAATCATTCAAAATATTGCCCATCGCTAGCGACTTTTTCCCATCTTTCTGGCAGAGCTCGAATACCGTCACAGTAGAAGTGTTCGTCTTTTGAGGCTATCCACGAATCAAGCCATTTTGAGATGTCTTCATATGAGCGGAACTGCTGATTAGCCAGACCATGTGCCATCGAACGGAACAAGTAATAATCGGACGGCGCAATATCTAGGGAATATGGCGGGTAGGGTAGGACTTCCCATTTGAGCGTTTCTAAGTAGGTTTTAACGGGTTTGGCAACATGAGGCCGAGCGTTGTCATGCTGTAGAATCACTTTTTCGTGCCTCTGCTCGTATTGTGGCCGCTTTTCGCGCAGTGCTCGGCTCAATCGCATCAATTGAGTTCGATACCGTTCCCCAGTGATGGTTTCGTTCGGTTTCAACAGCTCATAATAAATAACACCGCCCTGGTTGGGACCAGGTTTTGCTGTGTATTTGGTGGGCCAAATACACAGCAAAACCTTCGCAGCGTGAATATTCGGCCGAGCCGACGACGTAGAAGCATGACCACCGGGCAGTCCCCATGATTTTGTTCTCTTTGGGTTGCTGTAATGAATCCATTTTTCATCACCCGTAACGATGCGATGAAGAAAACC